TCAAGATTCATCCATGTTGCTCAGTGAACATTCTTGTTCAGGTTTTTGTATATGAGAGTCCTTAGTTTTTGAGTTTAATCTATTTGCATTTATTATACTAACTCTTATATTGAGATTTGGTTTTGAAATTTACTTTCACTCTTTTTTCCCTCTCCATCTGTTTTCCATGGGATAAACAGAGTATGCATGAGCAGTTGAAAAGTTATATTCTATTTGTATTCTTATGGCGGTTGCCATTAATTTAAGACCTATTTTATACCTAGTTATTCCTGTTGGCTCTTTCATTTATCAATATCTACTCTTTCTCTTATCAAGCTAAAGACTTGACCACATTGACATGTCACTTTAGTTTCTCTACTCCTGTCCTACCTCTACAGTTGAAAGCACTTTACCTTCCATTCTTTAAACATTTTTCGGTGGCCAGGCCCAGTGGTTCAGCCTGTAATCCCAGTACTTTGGGAGGCTGACGTGAGTGGATTGCCTGAACCCACAGGTTCGAGACCAGACTGGGCAACTTAGTCAGACCTCATCTCTACAATAAATAAAAAAATCAGCTGGGCGTGGTAGCACACGGCTACCTGTAGTTCCAGCTACTTAGAAGGCTGAAGCATAAGGATCACTGGAGCCCAGCAGGTCGACGCTGGGGTGGCCGCGAGTGTGCCACTGTACTCCAGCCTGGGTGACAGAGTGAGACTCCAACACACACACACACACAAAAAAAAATGATGGCATTCTTCTTGCATCTAGTGTTGCTATGGAAAATTGGATGTTGGTGTGATCCTTATTTCTTTGTAGGTGGTTTGTGTCTCTCTGGTGTCATTTGGAATTTTCTCTTGGATTTTCTCAGATTTCGCTTCAAACATCTGTATGCGGGGGTTTGCTTAACTCTTCTGTTTGGCATTGATTCATTTCGACCTAAAGTCTTTCATTTCTCTTAATTATGGCATATTATCTCCACTGTTTGTTATAGTTCCTCTTCTCCGCTTTATTTTTATGTGTTTCTGTGGCCCTTATAATCTGGGCTTTGGTTCTTTTATTTCTTTTCTATTCTTTTTTTTTTGAGTTTGAGTCTCACTCTGTCACCCAGGCTGGAGTGCAGTGGCACACTTGCGGCCACCCCAGCGTTGACCTGCTGGGGTCCGGCGATCCTTCTGCCTCAGCCTTCCAAGTAGCTGAAACTACAAGCATGTGCTACCACACCAGGCTAATTTTTAAATTTATTGTAGAGACGTGGTCTGGCCAAGTTGCCCGGGCTGGTCTCGAACCTGTAGGCTCAGGCAGTCCACTCGCCTCGGCCTCCCAAAGTGCTGGGATTACAGGTTGAGCCACCGAGGCCGGCCTGGTTCTTTTATTTCTTTCCTCTACATCCTTCAGTGTTTCTTTTATATCTTCTATGTAAACTGCCTTACCTGGTGCTTTATGAGGGAGTTCTGCAGCCTAGTCTTCCAACCCATTCACTGGTTCTGCAGCTTTTGGTAGATGATGCTCTTCGTTTTAAATATTATCTATTTTATAGATAGTAGTTCCACTTTGATTTTTTTTTTTTTTTTTGAGTTGGAGTCTCACTCTGTCACCCAGACTGGAGTGCAGCGGCCGCTCCTGGCCACCGCAGCCTCGACCTGCTGGGCTCCGGCGATCCTTCCGCCTCAGACTTCCGAGTAGCTGGAACTACAGGCGCGCGCTACCACGCCCGGCTAATTTTTTGACTTATTGTAGAGATGAGGTCTCGCCAAGTTACCCAGGCGGGTCTCGAACCCTCGGGCTCACTCACCTCAGCCTCCCAAACCACTTTGATTTTTATGTGATTTCTTGAGCTTGTTTCATATTGCCAAGGTATTTCCTTGCCTCCTTAGGTATATTGATTGTGATTATCTCATTTTGTTTCTGATCTTGTCAATAGCTCTGCCTCCGATAGCATTTCTTGTCTGTTTCTCATCTTTCTTTCGCAGAAAAGGGTTCCTCATCCCTTTCATTATTTTGGCCTTGGAGCTCATATTTTCTTGAGGGGCTCCGCTGCTTTGGGTGCGTGTTCTGGGGAAGAATGAAAAGCCACGTCCCACTTGGTGTCAGAGCCAGTAAAGGGATGAGCTCCAAATACCACAGAAGCTCTGCTCCTCTCACATTTGGGGCCGCCCCACCACACACACCTTCAGGCTGGAACATGGCCTCCAAACCACTGAGGAGTGCAGCATCCACCCCTCTGGGGGCCTTTCAGGGCCTTGTGATCAGCTGTCTGGAGGGGAGAGGATGGGGGTGTGAAGGGTCCGAGGCACACGCTCAGTTGTCATCTGCTTTTGTCGGCACCCTGATGACAAGGCCTTGTTTGTGGTCCTTCAGTATTACCTCCTGCCCCTGCGCCAGTGGCCTGGGCTGCTGCCACTGTTGCTGCCACGAAGAGGCAGGTGAACCTTGTCCCCAGGCCATGCTGAGCAAAGGCAGAGCGAAGCTGTGGGAGATTTCCTGTGACCATTGCCATTGCCACCCCTCTCTCCTGTCCCTCTTGGGCTGCGGCCACCACATTTCCCCCATAAACCTGTTCAAAGCACATTTAGCCTCCCAGGGTTTTCTCAACATTTTTAGTGCCTTGTTTCCCCAGCTTCTCCAGGGCTAATTTGCAGGAAAGGAGCCAGCGGTTCCTGCCAGTTTGGCAGAGACCAGAATCGCTATCAGGGGATTTGTTCGTTTGCTTGTTAGTTTGTTTGTTTGGAGTCGGGGTCTCACTCTGTCACCTGCCTCAGCCTCTCGGGTAGCTAGGACTACAGGTGCACATCACCATGCCCTGCTAATTTTTGATTTTTTGTAGAGATCGGGTCTCATTATATTAACCAGGCTGGTTCAGTGGATGTTTATATCTTGCAGGTTCTAGCTCTGTCCCCATTAATTTTTGGACACAGAGGTCCTTGGGGGGGATTTCTGACTACATGTTTGGGGGCATAGCCAAAAAGCCCCATCATATTTCAATGGAAAGTGGCTGAAATCTGTCTGCGACTTCTCTTTCACAGTCTCGGGCCCTGAAACAGCCCTGCAGAGATGGGGACGGTGACTAGGCCTTCGTGAAGCATCAGGTTCCGGCCAAGCTGCCTCAGGCCCTCCAGCTTCTCCTCCCAGTATGGCTGCTTCTCAACCTGGCTCCTTCCCCTGGTCACATACGAAACGTGGCTTTCCTTGACTTTTGTTAAAGTCATTTCATTAATTTCATACATTCTATGACGTTTTTGCATTTTCTTCAAAACTGTTATTTAAAGTTTCGTGTTTCTCTAAGTAAAAATACATGTGACGATTTTCTTTTAGAATTTGAGCCTAGAAAAAGATATTAGTTTCCAGAGAACTGTCACAAGTCCTTTGGTATATTGTAAGTTTTTCCTCCCCTTTAACAAGGAATTCAAAACTGATTTCATATAAAATGTGGCACCCATATCATCTTATGCTCACAGCAGAATTTCTTCAGTCCTCATTTTATACTTAATGTCTGGTTTTCTTTCATACATTGTTATTAAAGAATTGTTGTATGTGCTTTCACTTAAGAAAAAAAGCGTGGCTTTGTAAGAAACCAGCAAACTTTTACCGATATACTTTTACCATTTTATATTCCCATACCAGCAATATATGAGAGTTCTAGTTGCTCCACATACTTACCAGAATTGATATTTTCTGTTAAAAAAATGTTTTTAGCCATTCTAATGGGTGTCTGGTAGTATCTCATTTGTGGTTTTAATTTGCACTTACCTAAAGTGCATTTCTCCATCTATATATCTACTTTTGCAAAATGTCTGTTCAAATATTTTGTCCATTTTCTTTTGCATTGGGATCTCACTCTGCCGTCCAGGCTGTAATGCAGTGGCACAATCACAGCTACCGCAGCCTTGATCTCCTGAGCTTAGGCGATCCTTCTCCCTCAGCCTCCCAAGTAACTGGGACTGCAAGCACACGCCACCATGCCTGGCTAATTTGTTTGATTTTTTGTAGAGACAAGGTCTTGCCAAGTTACCTAGGCTTAGTCCATTACGTCTTGAGTTCTAAGAGTTCTTTATCTATTCTAGACGTTTATATTTTTCTCTGGGTTTGTAGTGCACCTTTATATTTCCTTAAAAGTGTTTTTAAAAAAGCAGAAGTTTTTAATTGAAGTGAAGTCTGATCCATTGTTTTTTCCTTTTATTTTTATCTTCATTTCTTTTTCTTATTGTCCTAGAATATATGTGTTGGACAAAAATCAAATGCTTTCTTCTAGAAGCTTTAGAGTTTTAGCTCTTAATTTCATGTATATGATCCATTTTGAATTAAGCATTCTAAATGGCGTGAGGTAAAGGTCAGTTCTAGCTTCTCATATGGATGTCCAGTTGTCCCAGTGCCACTCAAAGAGCCCGCCTTGTCACCTCTGTCAATCAGATGAGCCCTTGCCACCCAGCTGCCCCCTCCTCCTCTTGGATTGGAGCTCAAGGACCCTCCTTGCCACCTCGTGAGTTCCCACATACAATTCAAGGTGTGCTTGACTCACACTATCCAGCACTCCCATACGCTCTGTAACCAGATCGTGTTTTCGGGTCATTTAGTCCCCAGTGTTACCGAGGCAGAAGTCTCACCCTTGTCCCAGTGCCCTCCTGGCTCCCCTCCCTTTGGCCCCCGGGCTCTCTACAGGGACTGATGGAGGAGAGGGTGTGGATTTAGCACCAGGGCCTTGCCCAGTACTGCCGTGTGCTGACTGCATGGCCTCCCTTTCTCTGAGCCTCAGACTCCTTTTTTATAAAGTAAAGGCTCAGTTATCCCAACCCCTGGGTTTCCTTCGTGTGCTAATTTTCTTTGCTGCTGAGTCAACTCATAGTCTCCTCTCCTGGGCCTCCACTGGGTCAGCCTGAACAAGAACTGGGGAAAGGGTGCTCTGTGATAAGCAGAGACCCTGTGCCCATTTTCCATGGCTACTGACCACTACATGACTCCCTGGTAGGTGGTGCCACTTACTCAGGCACAAGTAACATGCAGCAAGGCCTCCTGACAAAACCTACCCTTCAGGCTTTGGCTCCAACTCTGCCTTCGCTTCTTCCGAGAAGTCTCCCTAAAATGTGAGTCTCAGCAGAGGAAGGGGCTACTCTGTATATGGCAAAGATTGGTAGTTAATTCACAGTGGCTGCCTGGGTCTTTGTGCTGAGGTGGTCACCTGGGTTTGAAGTGCTATAATGCCTGCAAGGACCAGAGTAAAGCAGCAACAGCATATGTGCCATGTGTTTACCAACTCTAGAATAGCCACTTGAATCAGGTCACATCTTTTTGCCTTAGAAAGCCTCAGACCTTCCTGCATCTAAAAGGAAAAGACTAGGCCAGGCGCTGTGGCTCAAGCCTGTAATCCCAGTACTTTGGGAGGCTGAGGCAAGAGAATTGCCTAAGCCCAGAGGTTTGAGACCAGCCTGGGCAACTTGGTGAGACCTTGTCTCTACAATATATCAAAAAAAAAAAAAAATTAGGTGTGGTAGCACATGCCTGTAGTTCTAGCTACTTGGAAGGCTGAGGCAGAAGGATTGCCAGAGCCCAGCAGGTCAACGCTGTGATGGCCGTGAACCACCCCAGCCTGGGTGACAGAGTGAGACTCTGACTCAGAAAAAAGCCATGAGGGAACCCGAAGAAAAACATCCAGCGACTCTAATCTAGCATGAGTTCATGACCTTCTCAATTCATCTAGCACCTTCCCATCATGCCTGATTTGTTGTGGGGTGAAGCCTTATCCCCCTCTCCGAGTGTTAGAAGTATTAGCTTAAGAATAGAGCAGGCCACTTCAAATCCATTTCTAGGGGGACAAATGTATAATTCAAAAAACACCTTTGAGGGATACAAAGGATAAAGATTAAACCTCGAAAAACTCAGAATAGAAAAGCTTACATTGCAGAGGAAGCACAGGTAGCTCTGAAGACACCTTGCCTGGTGCCGCCTGCAGCCCGGGGCCTGAACGCTCCTGGGGCTGGGAGAGCAAGGTAGCCCTTCCGCGTCCTCGCCCTGCTCCTGGGAAGCAGCTCTCCTGAGCCCAGACCCGCAAGCCCAGAGCTGCTGGCAGAGAAGGTGTCCCGCCTGTCCCTCTCAGGTGCTGTCGGGACATGAGCCGGCACACCGGAGAGGCCTGCCAGCTGGCACTCCCTCATACGGGGATGGGTGCTGGGGGGTGTCTGACTCACCGAAAGGCACCCATGCTGGGCTCAGTGGGGGTGTCAGCCTGCCCGGCGGCTGCAGGGGCTGCCACTGGGGGCCCCTTGGCCCATCCCTCTGGCCCCGCTGTGAGCCTGTGGCTGCTGACTCCGGCCTACTCCATCTTCCTCTTCCTCATGCTCTTCCCCTTCCTCGCTTCTTCCTCCTTCCCAGCCCTTCCCTCCTCCTGCTCTCTCCCTCCCACCGCTCCCTCAGACTCTTCTCTCAAGACCCCACCTCCCTCTCCCCTCCCCCTCCCATCCCCTTCCCTGCCCTCTCTCCCTCTTTCCCAGTCTCTCCCTCGCTCTC